AAGGTTCTCAAAGTACACAATGACCACAACAGTGGATTCAAGCAGGTCAACTATCTGAAGATGCCACTGGACCAGGCAAGGTGGCATTATGTTGTACGGGAGGTGGCCACGAGGTGGAACAGCTCTGACAGCAAGGAACAGCAGCAACATACTGAGAGACCAGAAAACGCGCATGGGGCAAAGTGTTTGAATGAGGCAATCTGGTGTGGTAGGCAGTCTCCAGGACACCCCCAGACGACCCCCCACCTCTGGGTATCCTGTCCTCTCCTATCTGGTACCAGAGTTGGGCTCTGTGATCACAGGAGTATGGCAGAAGTGATCATAGGTCGCGTTTGTGATTTTACATATTATAACACAGGCACCCTCCCCCCCCCAACAACAGAACCCAACACTGCCCAGTCCTGCACCATCCTCACGATCTTTGTTACATTTGAGCTCATCGTTGAAGCCATTGGGTCAAGTCGTCTCCCTGAGGGGCTTCCTCTTTTTCGCTTTCTACTTTTCCAGGGACTGCTCCCGCCTGTGTAAAGTATAGGAGACGAAATCTTGCCATTCGGGCTGTACGTCTTCCAAGGCAAATTTGTTCGCTCTTCCGGCAGTCCGTGATATATTTGATATTCTTCACCAGCATCATAATGCAAATGCATCAAGTCTTCTTTGGTCTTCTCTTTCCAACTTTCACATGCATATGAGGCAACTGAAAATACCATGGCCTGGGTCAGGTGCACCTTAGTCCCAAAGAGACATCTTTGATTTTTAACACTATGCAGATGGCATTCCTCCTCCCATGCATGGTCGCTGGAGTCAATTCCAACTCAGCAAGGCCATGGAAGAGAGCTCTGGAGATCGGCTTCCATCCAAAAATCCCAGACAAGAAAACCCCCTCTGGAGCCGTTCTGCTCTGTAGCCATGGGTTACCATGAGCTGGAATTGGCTCGATGGAAACAGGTTTTTATTTGTTTGCTTCATCTTCACTTACGGTAAGAGAAATGCAAATCAAAACGATCCTATTGAACTAATTTTCACCCATTGCATTAGAAAGACACTCTCAGATTTGGCCCCTGGGGGTCGAAAGTGGTTCACTTTGCTATGGTTCCTGTATACAGTTACTGTGGTGTTGGCTCCAACTCACAGCACACCCAAGGGGGTCAGAAAAGAACTGTGCTCCACAGGTTTTGCAACAGCTGTACATCTTCTGGAAGGTGATCACCAGGCTTTTCTTCCAAGGCACCTCTATGTAGGAGAACCGGAACCTCCGACATGGTTAACATGTGAGTGCATGAGCCAGTTACACCACCCAAGGATCCCACACACAGCGAAACAAATGCTGTCCTGTCCTGTGGCACCCCCATGATAGGGTGGCCGATCTGACCTTGGAACCCGCGAGATTTTCAGAAGTGGATCGATCACCAGAACTTTCTTCCTGGTCCATCTTAGTCCGTTTGGCATCCTAACCACATGATGGCCTCACTAACTGCAGATGAAGTGCAATGGCCCAGATTTGAACTTGGATTTCCTCTGTGGAAGGTGAAAAATCTACCACTGAGCCACCACTGCCTCCTTCATGAAGAAGGGAATGAATATCAAATAGGACAGAGCTCTTCCAAGGAGAAAGGCGCTCTACAGAGGGACAAATATAGCTAGGAGCCACAGTGGTGTACACAGTTAAGCACTCGGCTGCTAATCTAAAGGTCAGCGGTTTGAACATACTCAGAGGCGATCTGCTCCCTTAGAGATTACAGCCAAGAAAACCCTGGGGAGCGGTTCTGCTCTGTCATACGGGTCACTATGAGTCGGAATCAACTCAAGGCACCCAACAACACCCACACACCTCTACTTCCAAAAACATCAGCCACTGAAAAACCTAGCGAGCATAATTCTACTCTGACCCACATGGGGCCGAAAAGATCCAGAAATGACTAGATAGCAACTGGGTTAGCTTATGCAGTGAAGTACAGAGCAGAGTCAACCTCTGTCCACCATACCACCAAAGTCAGTCTACAAAATCACAGAAATCGCTATTAAACAAACACATGTACATGTGATGCTACTGGTTCCTGACATATGCTCCACTTCCAAAGGTGGTGTTTCCACCTCTCTAAGCCTCCCCTGAGGAATCCTGCACTGTGACTCACACTATGTCAAAACGGCAGTCTTGGCATCCTCAAGGATTCAAATCATGTCCCTTTTCAATGTTCATTGGGTTTGGGGAACAAAAGAACTCTGAGAGTGCAAGATTAGGGTTGTCGGGTGAATGGGGTAAGGGTTCCCATTGAAATTCTGATAGGACCGCCCTTGCTACCCTCCAGGAATGAGCAGATGTACTGTTGGGATGGAAAATGTTCCTTGGGGTAACTTTCCTGGCCTTTTTCTCACCAGTGCAATTTGCCATTTTCTTAAAACTTCTTCCTAATACATCTCTGTGATCATACTGGCCTCTGAGAAAATCTACCAAGATGACCCCTTTGGAATCCCAAAAATCAGACGTCATAACCTTCTCAGCGGGCCTCTCAGTTTAGGATTGAACTGGTCCAGCAGATCCCCTTTTGATCTTGTTTCTGAAGGTACCCAAATAAGACTAAGACAAGTGTACCACTGGGAGAACTTGTCTGCAGCCATTCACTGATCGCAGAGACATGTTTAAACATGCATTGCTTGGAATGAATCTGTACGTGTGTGAGCTGTATCCTAGTAACAATATTTTTGGACTTATCCTTGTATTACTGATAAGCCAAGAATGGTTTCTCTATTTTTTAAATGGTCAGAAAAGATTCTAAATCAAAATAGTATTTTGTGACTTATGAAAATGGCATGAAATTAAAATTCTAAGTGTTCACAAATGAAGTTTTATTTGAACACAGCCAGGTTCACCATTTACGTATGATCTACGTATGGCTGATTTCTGCTTTAAATCCTCAACCATTCACTATCAAGCTCTTTAAAGAAAACAAATTTGCCAGTCCCTGGCTTTTTAAAAAGTACTTAAATAGCATTTTCAATATTTCTGACCCCGTGCTAACTACTTTCCATACACTAATTTAAAAAAATTCCCCCCAGCAGTGACCTTCTGAAGAAGATACTATTTTCAACTTCATTCTACAGGTGAGAAAACTGAGGCACAGAGACGTCCCAGAGTCTGTAAGAAGCAGAGTTGAGATTTAAACTGGTAAAATCGGGCTCCAGACTCCACATTCGTTAACTACCACGACACAGTCCCCGCCCAAACACCAGTTCTTCCAGGCTGTGGCTCTCAAACTGCAAGTGGCGAACCATCAGCGATGGTGCACGGCCATTTGAGTAGTTGTGACCGGCACTGAGAAGGGGAGTGGACACTGTCCATCCATGATCACTGCAGCACTTTTTTCTACAAGAGCCAAAAGGTGGAAACCATGGTAACGTCCGTCCATCCACAGATGGATGGATCTTCACAATGTGGTCTGTCCGTACAATGGGCTGCTGCTATGCAGTCACGGGGAGAAATGACGTCCTGGTGCACGCCAGAGCACGGATGAACCTTGAGAACATTATGCTGAGAGAAAAAACCAGTTGTCGAAGAAGCAACGCTATTGTATGAGCTCCCTTATGTGAAACAAGCAAATACACAGAAAGCCAAGATCAGTGATGGATACCAGGGAGGGAGAGCAAGGGGCACTGAGTTGATGGAACCTTTTAGAAAAGGGCAGTAAGAATGGCTACACAGTGCACAGCCTGGAGCAGGACATTTTGAACTGTCACACACGGGCTTGCCAGGAGTTGACGTCACAGCAGCTAACTAGATATTCATCCCATTCTGTATGTCTATGCACAGAGAAGGAGTTCTGGTGGTACAATGGTTAAGTGTTCAGTTTCAAAAGGAAAGGTTGGTGGTTTGAACCCACCCACAGGCTCTGTGGGAGAAGGACCTGGCGATGGATCAGCTCCCATAAGGATGACAGCCTAGAAAACCTTAGGGGACTGCCACAAAGGGTCGCTCTAAGTCAGAAGCAACAACATGAATGGAAAAAGGAACCCAAGCAGGTGCGCTGGGGAAGAAAGACAGACAGCAAGCTAAAGCCGTTCAGCAGACAGACCTGCACCAAACCACCACCTTTTGCCTCTGGAAAAACGAACAGCCTGCACGTGTTACTCATCCAGGCCAGAAAATGTACTTTTAGGAAACAGTGAGTGTCCCCATATGTCTGTGACCCATGGGCTGGCCCTGGCCTCGAGCCCCCACATCTCTCAGGAGACACTGGAAATCTCTGAGGGGGTAAATCAGCAAGAGAGAGCAGGCGGGGTGGCCAGAGCGCAGGGAGGAGGGAGCAGGGAAGGCAGGGCCCAGCGGGAAGGGAGGACGAGGCTTGGCTGAGCTGAGGATGGGCTGTGGGGGGGCATCTACCTGGGGGCCCGGAGCCGGGGAGGACTGAGGGCCGAGGCCAGCTCCTTTGGCGACGGGGGTGGCCGGGGCTGGGTCTTGGGTGGGAGGCGGGGCGCTGACTATGACCGAGGCGGGCACGGAGAGGTGGGGGCCATCTGCGAGGAGGGGCTGCTGGCTCCTCTCCTGCAACGGGCACCCGTACAGGGTCAGAAGGCCACCTTGTTCCCTTAGGCCCCCCCATCCCAATAGCCCTCAGTCCTGCCCGCACTGACATTGCCCAGGCTGCGGGTGAAGGTGGTCAGGAGGTCATCCCTGAGAGGTCTGGGCCAGACTGGGGTTCCTGCTCAGGGTGGCCTGTCCACTTGGGGGGGGTCTATCAATCTGTCTGCCAGCTCCCCAGCATCTTCAACCCTCCTGCTGGCCTATTTGTCCATGTCCTGTGACCCTCCCTCTCCTGGTCACCCCTCTAATTCTCCAGCAATCTGTCCGTCAGTCTGGCATAGTTGCAGCCTCTTTTGTCTTCTGCCTGCCACTCACTTTCCTCCTGTCTGTCTGGTCCATTTGTCAGTTAAGTCAGTTTGTCAGCCAGCCAGCCAGCCAGCCAAATAGTCCCTGTCTGTCTGTCAGCCACCAAGTCTTACTCTCCTTGTCTGCCTGCCAGTGAGTCCCTCTCCTTGTCTGTCTGTCTCCAAGGCTCAGCTCAGTCCCTCTCCTTATCTGTCCGTCAGTCAGGCTCTTTCTTATCCAGTCAGTCAGCTAGCACCTCCCTGTCCATTAGTCCACCAATCCTTCTCATCCCTCGGGCCTCACTCAGGGCCACCACATCTGGAACACTCTCCCTAACACCAAACAGCTCTCCCAGTGCCTTAGCGGAGTCCGACTGATTTCAGCTTCCTTTGCTGTCACTGCCTGCCCAGTGCCCTCCAGCCTGGCCCCTCCACCTGGCTTACCTGGGGGAGGAACATCTGCATGGAATCCTGAGTGAGGATGGCTGTGGGGGCGGTGGTGGATGGTTGCCCCAGGACCATCTTCTCGGGGCTGGATGCCAGGCCCGGGCTGGGCTGCGGGGTGGTGGCCTGAGGCGGGGCTGCGGCGACCTGGGGCTGCCCCTGAGGCTGCTGGAGGCCCAGAGACAGTGGTGTGCTGACAGCAGGGGGCGCCTGGGGGGCCGCCTGCACCGCGAGGACAGAGGCAGCCTCCCCGGGGGCCGTGGCAGCAGGGGGGGCCGGTTGCACCAGGCCTTCGGGGGTGTTGAGCATGGCCACGGCACTGGGCGGCAGGGTGACGCCTTGGAGGACTGTGGTGGCAGCTGGGCCGGTGGGGGCCGACTGGCTCTGGGTGGGCAGGCTGCCAGCAGCCAAGGACACAGGCATCTGGAAGAGTGCTGGCTGGCCCACCTGGATGGGGGCGGCTGAGAGGATGTGGGCGGCACTGTGGGCCCCGGAATGGGGGGCCAGGACGGGGCCCAGGCTCAGCGGGCCGGCTAGATTCTGGTTGGTGAGGATGGGATTGGCGATGAGCTGTCCACCGGTGTGGGGGGCTGCAGCTGCCAGGATCTGCCCACCCACGTTGGCTGGCAGGGCGGAGAGTGGCTGGGGTAGCTGGACGGCTGAGGTGCCGGGCAGCAGGAACTGGTTCTGGCCAGGCAGCATGTGCTGGGCGGGGATGACAATGCTGCTGCCCTGGTTCAGGAGGTGGACGCTCATGGGTTTGCTTAGGGCCCCGGGTGGCTGCGGCGGGGCCGCTCCTGGCGTGGTAGCAGGGGGCTGCTTGAAGACGTTTGCCTGCAGGGTGGGTGCTGGGAAGCCCGACAGGACCACATTCTGGCCCGCCTTGCCTGCTGCCATGAAAGTCAGGTTCTGGGGGGCCTTGGGCGGCTGTGGCAGACCCCCGGCTTCGCCCTGGATGGTGAGCGTAGCGCCCGCTGGAGCGAAGGGTTTGGGCGTCAGCTGGTAGAGTTTGGGAGGCTTGGGCTGGATGGGCGTGGGTGTGCGGTGCAGGATCACGTTGGGTGCTGGCACCAGTGGTGATGTGCCCAGGCCAGGGGCCACCGCCAGCGGCTGCCCCGAGGGCGTCCCGCTAGCCACGGCTGTGGCGGCCCCTGCCCCACCAAACACCGAGTTCCCATTGAGTGTGGTGGCCACAGCAGCGGGCAGGTTCTTCTGGATCACGAGGCCAGCCCCCTGTGGGGAGACACCTGCCGATGCCAGAGTCACTGGCTCCGAGGGGCCAGCTGCCGATGCCAGGTAGCCACCGACAGGCACCTGCTTGGCCAGGAGCTGGGAGGCGGGTGGGTTGAGTGCCATGACAGGCTGGCCCACCACCTGGATGGGTGCCAGGCCGAGTGTGGCTGCCGTGGCACCCCCAGGGCTGCCATTGGGCAAGCCCTGGAGGCCTGGGATAGGCTGCAGGGTCACGTTGCCCAGGCCCACAGGCTGCAGGAAGGGCTGAACGCTCAGGGCCTTGCTGACCACATCCTGGGGTGGCACCAGGGCCTGGTGGGCCAGAACGGTGGGTGGAGCCTGCAGGCCCAGGAGGTCAGTGCCACCCGGGAAGAGGGCCTGAGGCCCTGAGGCCACGGCTGCCGCCCCTGCCGGGCCTGCCCCGCTGTCCGCTGGCTGCAAGGTGGGCAGCTGGAAGGGACCCAGGTCCAGCTCCGCCTCGGCCTCGAGCGTCTGCTCAGTGATGTTGGCCTCTTGGAGGCTCTGCTGGAGGATGTCGCAGGGCTGGTCAGCAACCCCCCCAGCCCCACTGCCGCCCCCCGCTGAGGGCGAGCCCAGGATGTCATCTTCCAGGAAGTCAAGGTCCACGCTGGGCGCTGGCTGGCTGGGCTCTGGGTTCAAGTGGTTGCCAGAGGCTTCTTGGACATGGAGCTGGAGGCCGGGGGAGGTAGGGAGGAAACAGCAGAAGTTAGCAAGGAGGCTGGGCTGAGGAGGCCCTGGCTGGAGTGACGGAATGCTTGGGCTCCATCAGACACAACACGCTGTTTGGAAGGTTCGACTCCCAGAGGTGACACCTGGAATTCGCCTAATCCGGCCTCAGTTTCCCCATGTGTACGTACCAGCAAACTGAAACACAACCATTGCCGTCGAGTAAGCCCCTAACCAGTGGCGACCCCATGTGTGACAGAGGAGAACTGCTCCATAGGATTTTCTGGGGAGCCCTGGGGTGGCACTGTAGGATACGCACAAGGTCGGTTTGAATGGCAATATCAGTGGTTCAAACTCACCAGCTGCTCCTCAGAAGCCCTATATAGGATTGCTATGGGTTGGAACCGACTTGAGAACATACAACAATAGTCATTCGAGAAGCAGATTGCCAGGCCGTTCCTCTGTGGGGCCGCTGGTGGGTTGAAACTGCCGACCTTTCTAAGCACAAACCACATTCACCACCCAGGCTCCTCTGTACACATCAGTAAAAGTGCAATTAGAAACAGAAACAACGACTTCTTTCAATGGAAATGCAAGCCCACAATTCTTAACTGCAAATTCCAAAACCAAAATGCGCTGAAAACCTGCACAAAATATTTCTTAATTCTTTTACGAACGAGCACGGCACTCTAGGTGAAATGTATAATTTATCCACGTGACATGACGTTCCGTGAGTCTGGTCACAGAAGGCTGGGTGCCTGAGGCGTGGTCACACTGCATCAAATCTGAACAAATCTCAATTCTGAAACATGTCTGGTCCCAAAGGCTTCCAAGAAAAGACCATGACTCAGTTGGAGGGGAACTAACAGTAGCAGGAAAGAAGTCAGACCCAGAAGAAGAAATGAGGTACGGTCTCACTGAAATCAGCGACGGAGGGACTCATGGAGCATAGTTCTGCTCGGACACATATGGGGATGTCATGAGTCGGAACCAACTCAGTGACAACTGGTGTTGGGGGTAGTTTTTGCTGAAGGGGTACTAAGATTCTATGTAAAAACCAGCTGACATACTAGGCCCCTCAAAGCCCTTAAGGGTATTAACAAATAATCGTGATAAGAATGATTGTGATATAATAATACACGATCATAAATTTGGAAACGAATACAGGGTTTATTTGTAGGCCTTCCGGATTTAATCTTTGATGTTATTAAAGATAGGCGCCCTGGCTCCATGGAAGACAAGACCTGGTGATCTGCTTCTGTGAAAATTACCCCAAATCCCTAAACCAAACCTGTGGCCATTGAATTGATCATGACTCATATGAAGCAACCCTTTAGGACTGGGTAGAACTCCCACAGGGTTTCCTAAGGTGTGAATCTTTACAGAAGCAGACTGGCTCCTCTTCCTCAGAGCAGTGGCATTGGGTTCCATTATGTTTAAACCAATGTGCCTCCTCAGTAAAGACTGTCATTATTGTTAAGTGCTATTGAGTTGACTACAAATCATTATGACCCCTTTATAGGGTTTCTGAGGAGCAGCTGGTGAGTTTCAACTGGAAGCCTTGCAGTTAACAGTCCACTGCTTATCCTCCAGAGCCACACCAGGAGTCTTCATAAAGACTGTTGCTAAGTGCCACCGAGTCGTGTCCGATTCATAGCGGCCCTGCATGGGTGTTTCTGAGGAGCGGCTGGTGGGCTTCAACAGTGCTAAGAAGTTTCAGCGCCACACCAGGTCTCCCCATGAAAATGGCAGCCTTGGAAAGCTGAAGGGGCAGTGCTACCCTGTCCTGCAGTAGGCACTGACTTGGCAGCAGTGGGTTGGGTTTGGGTACCTTGCTCAGTGCTAGCCGGTGTATACTATGCTTAAGGTTAATCCACCCCTGGCCCCTGTCTTCCTGTGACAGGTGGGGTCTGAGGTCTGTGTGCCAGGTCGGATCTCTGTCTCTCACATGTGGCTGAGCCAAGGCTGGTGAACCCCCAGAAGTGCTGTGAGCCAGGGATTTAGAGCCCTAGCCTCCTGCTCTGAGGGTCGTGTGGGGCTGTCAGCCTACCCATGTTCGTTCCCCTCCATGCAGCAGTCCCTGCCTCCTAAGCCTTCCCCCAGCCTCCCAGCCCCCTGGGCTGCAGCACAGACCACTTACCCCAGGACCTTCATAGAAGGCACTTTGGGCCTCCCCAGGATTATCCAGGAGGTCATCGCTGTCCAGCTGCAACAAGACCCACCCCGCCCAAAGGTCAAAGGTCAACCAGGTAGTGGGTAAGACCAAGCTCTTGAGAAGAAACCAATTTGGGGGTCCAGGAGAGGAAAAGATAAGGGTGGGGAGGGACTAAGGTATAGGAAACTCTTTGCCTCTCAAAACAGAGGTGTGCCAGAGAAAATGGCTCGGCCACATGCTTAAACCCAAGGTACCACGTCCTGACCCCTGGTCCTTGTGTGGGAAATACTGTTTTCCTTTGCAGATGATGCTATCATTTAAATTACAGAGTAGTGTTAGTCCAAATCCTCTCCTCTCCTGAGTGGTGTTTTACACAAGAGCAGAAGAGACTTGGAGACAGGGTCACCCCTCAGGGGAAGCCTAAGTGTCAAGCTCTAGCTACAAACCAAGGAATGTCAAGAGACTCCGAGGGCTACAGAGGCTGGAAGAGACCAGGAAAGAACCTCACCTGGAGCCATGGAGAGAGAGGGGCCTGCCTTAACCTCCCAAGGAGCCCTGGGCAATGTTTATGCTCTCAGCTAAGAATCAAAACGTTGGAACCCACCAATGGTTCTGAGTGAGGAAGAGACCTGGAGACCTGAGCCCCCAAAGATAACAGCCTAGGAAACGCTACGGGGTAGTTCTACGTCACTGGGTTCCTATGAGTCAGACATAATTGATTCAGCGGCTCCTGACAACAAGATCAACAGCCTCCAAAAGTGTAAGAGAGTAAGTTTCTAGTTTAAATAATAAAAAACAAGATGTCCCCAACACAGATTTCCCTAGCCTGGCCGTGAGGACCTCCTGACATGCTCGCCTTGAAAGCTAAGAATCCTGCCTGTTGCCCGTTTCCCTCTCTGATCACCCACACTACCTCCTCCCAACACTCCCCTGATCCTTTCCATTTCAGGTACATCTCAAGTGCCTGTCCCATCACCCCATCATCAAGGCCCCCAGATACACCAGCCTGGACCTGTCCTCTCTGACTCCCGAGGGCACCTTCTGTACCTCACCCAAGGTCTGGCCTCCACAAAGTGCCTGATGAATGTGTGTCTATGGAGGAGGCCTCGCCAGTCTCTCTCCCCAATGAGATGGCTCTCTAAAACCCCAGACTCATCTAACCTGTTCAACAGCCCCACCTGGACTTGTGGAATCTGCCTCAAACTCTTGATCTCAGAAGATGCAACCACAATCCAAAATCCAGGAGTCCTCCCAGACAGACACCTGTCTCTTCCTCAACGGCGGATCCATGAGCAAGTCCCGGTGATTCTACCTTACAAACAGACCCAAATCTAGGGCCTCACATCCCCCCCACTGCCAGCTCCATGGTCCAGATCACTATTGTCTTATTGTGGTCATTTTCTTTTCACAAATTATTTGGCACTTCTTCTTTGGAGAAAGGAGCTATTGTGGGTCAACAGTTAAAACACTCGGCTGCTAATGGAAAGGTCAGCGGTTCAAATCCACCCAGCAGTTCTGAGGGAGAAATGCCTGGCAATCTGCTCCCATTTGGATTACGGCCTAGAAAACCCTCTGGGGGCAGTTCTACTCTGTCACAGGGGGGTCACTATGAGTTGGAACTGGCTCTGGGGGGATCAGTAGCCATGTTCTGAGGATACTCAATCAACACTGAAGAGAGGCCCATGCGGTGAAGAACTGAGGCCTCCAGTCAACAGCCACAGAAGTCATTTCAGAAGTGTATCGTTCAGCCCTGGGCAAGCCTTCAGGTGACTGTAGCCCTGGCCCACATCCTGATCACAAGCCCATGAGAGACCCTGAGCCAGAGCCACCTAGCTAAGCTGCTCCCAGATTTCTGAGTATCAGAAACTAAAAGAGAACACATGTTGTTTGAAGCTGCTCAGTGTCCAGATAACTTGCTACACAGCCATAGGTAGCTGCTACAGGTCCCTGCGATTTTCCAGGCTTCCCTACTTCGTTCCATTCTTTACAGTGTACGCCGGGTTATACCATTCTCCTGCGTAACAGCCCATCAGAGAGAAATATGCAGGTCTTCCATGACCAAGGGCTACTGGCCACTCATCTCACCTCCTGGTTTCTCCTTCAGTTCGATGTGCCAGCCTTCTGTCTGTGCCTGAACAGATCAAGTTCTTTCCCTCTTTGCTCCTGCTCTTGTTTCTGCCAGGAATACTATCAGCACCTCTATTCCCTTTGCATGTGCCATTAAGATTCTATCTTATCATATTCGGCAGGGTCCCTTCTACCACTGTCTTCATTAGTTTTCGGTTTCTTTGCTTACCAAGGACTTGTACATGGTGTGAGGGCAGGGATTTGCCATCAGCTGCGCTCCAACCGTCACCCTGGGGCCTGGCTCATCTACTGTGCTAAAGGGACATGCCTCCCCCTGTCTCTGTCTCTCCAGCTTCCAATTTTATCAGCCCCTACCCCAGGGAACGTGTTTCCCTGCCCCGGCACTTACCTTCTCGGATCCATGTAAAAAGTCATTGAGGGCCTGAGGATCACTGAAAGAGAGAAGGGAAGAAACACTGAGCAGGTGAGGGGCAGGGGGCAGAAGGATGATGGGGGGTGAGGAGAGATAGGGGTTTCAGACAGAGGGCAGGGTGCAGAGAGCCTGCTACTCACCAAATCACGTCTAGTAAGCATCTCCCATCCTCATCATCCATCGCCACTGGACGGGGTGGGGCCGGGAGGAGGGCGAGGGAGACAAGGTTAGATGTCAGCAGCTTGCCAGGTCCCCTCCCTTCAAGGACAAGTCCCACTGGGGTTGGAGTTTTTGTTCCCTTGAGCCTCTGGGGCTAAGTGGGGGCAGGGAGCACCTACTAGGTAACCATGCCCTGCAATCTCCTGATCAGAGACAACTTCCTCCTCGCACTCCTTCTCCCCCAATCTCCCTATCTCTTTCCCTAGCACCTTATGGTGAGGTTATCAACCAAAGCTACCTGAGCCCAGATCGTTAGCAAGCTCTGTGCTCTGAGCTTTACACATGCTTGATTAATTTAATCCTCTCAACAGTTCAAACCCACCAGCTGCACTTAGTAACCCTATACCGAGATGCTATGAGTTAGAAACAACTCCATAGCCCACAACAAGAAGGATTCCCTGAGGTGGGTACTAGCACTTTGTGGACAGTGGTTATCTGTTTCCTAACCAGCAGGGGGCAGATCCCAGGCACGCTGGCTCCCAGAACACTAGGAGATTCCTCCTTTCAGCCTGCCCCAGAGAGGGGTAGTGGGCGAAGGGTGTCCTATGTATGAATGGGTGAATGAAGTAGGGCAGGATTGAAGATACCAAGACGGACCTCTCCTCTGGGGTTCTAGATTTCCCTTGGAGATTCGACACTGTGGTTCAGGGAAGGGAAGGGTGAAGGGAAATTGAGGCAGAAGTATGGGAGAGGGACATGAGTCCAAGAAGCCACTAGCGAGAGGCTGACCTTCACTTTAAGAACAGGGATGGCTAACGTCTGTGGAGCACTTGCCATGTGCCAGACACTCCTCTGTCCCAAATGTCTCACAAACGTTAGCTTGTGGGGAGGGGGCTGTCGGTAACCCTCACTTACACATGAGGACACTGACGTTCTCATTACAACCCATGTACTCTTCCTTCTTCCTTCCCACCTCCAACTTTCCATCCTTCCAAACCTCCAATTTTCCAACCTTTCAAACACTTCTCCATCTTCTATCCTTCCAAATGTCACCTCCTCCATCTTTCCCAGCTCTAATCCTCCATCCATCCTTCCAAATCCCCACCCATCTCTTAAACTTCTATTCCATTCCCCCATCTTCCAAATGTCCCTTCATCCCTCCAAACCCCCATCCATGCCTCTATACCTCCAAAGTTTCAACCTTCTAAATTTCCATTCCTCCACCCCGCCAAACCCTCATCTATCCCATCATTCCAAACACTTCCAGCCAACTATCCATCTTTCCCGTCTTCCAAACACCCAAACTGATCCATCCTTCCATGCACTCATCCTCCCACTGCCTCATGCATCCTTTAGCCAATGTCCCCTTCCTTCCCAGGACGGCAGACAGGATACAAGCAATGACATGTGATCCTTGAATGTAGTGGGTTTACAGCCCAGGGCCATGGGGCTCCTAATCCTTTATTATTGTTTTTGGGGGTTCTGGAGCTGAGGATGTGGTAACTGCCATGGATCCCTCCCTGACGCCCAAAATAATCACATATAGAGAATCTTAATGTGTGCTCAGGGATCACAGCCCCTCAACCCGTGGCATTGTCCCAATTCTCCCAACAGTGACCTAGCTGCCCTCAAGTGCTCTGTGATGCACAGAGGAGTGGCAGACAGGGGCCTCCTGCAGGTTGGTGGGGGCTTCTCTGAACAGTCCTTGGAGACATCTGATGGCAGCTAAGGACCTTCTGGAGTCCTGGTGTGGCTCTGCGGGTTAAGGTGCCAGACTGCAAAGCCATTTGAACTGCAAGGTCAGTGGTTCAAGCTTACCAGCTGCTCCTCGGAAACCCTATACAGGGTCGCTATAGGTCGGAATCAACTCGACGGCACTTAACAACAACAGCAACAAGTACCTTCTTGCTAGCAGCAGGCATGTGGGCAAAGATGTGACTGATGCTTTTCAGGGGTTGATGAATCCCCTCCCCACCCAGCTCTAGCACACACACACACAAACTCTCTCTTCATGGGCCCTGGGTTAACAATGTATACACACACACACCTTGCCCCCTTGTCTCCAGCACAGGAGTCATTCCTCTTTCAGCACTGGTTGTGGGGACTGCAATAGGGACAGTCCCCACAGAGTCCCTCCTCAGCTCCTATGTCCCAACGTGGGCCAACATGCTCCCCCCATCCTCCACATCCGGGCCCCACCCCGGCTTCCTTCTTCCTGTCATACCAGGTCCTTCACCAACATGCACATGGGGGGAGGAGGGTGCCAATGGCCAGCCAGGGGACAACACCGCGAGAGTCTACCAAGAATTTGGAGAAGGGAGGAGAGACCGATGCTGCCTACAGTTGCGCAGAGGCAGTGGTATGGCTCAGATGACCCAGAGTCCAGGCTAGAGAGGGTGAGTCTATGCCAGGCTCTCTCAGGAAGGAAGGTACCCAGGAGGCGGGGTGAGGGCTGGGTTCTCCCCAATTACCTGAGCTACACACGAATCATGAAGGGAAGGAGGGGTTGTCCACTCCAGGTTTACGCAGGGCCCCCAACTGGGGACGTGAGGAGTGTCCTCTCGGGAGCCAGCTGTGGAGAAAGGGAGAGAGAGAAAGACTGTGTGAGAGAGAAATGGGGAACAGAGAGAGGGGGTTAGCAGGGGGCTGTAGGGGACAGAAGCGAGGGAAAAGAGGCAGAAAGCACACCTCCAAAATCCACTGCTCTCAAGTTGAATTGAACTCACAGTGACTTTAAAGGACAGAGGAGAAGTGTTCCCTAGGGTTTCCAAGACTGTAAATCTTTATAGGAGCAGATAGCAGCAGCCTTCTCCTTCGAACCAGCTGGTAAGTTTGAACTGCTGGCCTTGTAGTTAGCAACCCAGCACTTACTCCTCAGCACCACCAGGCCACCGTAAGGGTTGGAGACATGGTGTTAAAAGGGAAGAGAGGACAAAAGGTTCTTCAGTAAAGGAACCTGGTGGTTACAATGGTTAAGTGCTCAGCTGCGAACTGAAAGTTTGGTGGTTTGAACCCGGATCTCTGGATGCACAACTCACAGTCTAGAAAGTCCTACAGGGCAGTTCTGCACAGTCACGTGGGGTCACTATAAACTGGAATTTAAGGCTGCACCAATTGCAAGTCAAGGACACACAGGGCACTGGTTTACACTGCTGTCAGTCCCGACTCTCGGCGGCCCCAGAAACAAAGTGCTGCCTGTACTCTACCATCCCCAAGACCAGCTGTAGGTCAGATATCTGAGATCTATCTGTAAGGCTCTTAGAGGCAGATTTTGGAAGCAGATCTCCAGGACTTTCTTCTTAGTCTGTGCTAGTCTGGAAGCGCTGCTGAAACTGGCTCAGCATTGCAGTAACATGCAAGCCTGCACAGAAAGATGGCTGGCGGTGGCGCTTGGGGTGCACCAGCCACATTACTCTACAGGGATTAACTCTAAATCCCGGTGAGGCCGGTCCTTCTATGATCCCTGTTTTAGTTAAAGAGGGAAACTGAGGCACTGAGAAGTTAGATCCCCAGAGGTATAACATTTTTGGCTGCTAAGTAAAAGGTTGAAGATTCAAACCCACCCACAGGCACCTTGGAAGAAATGCCTGGTGAGCACCTTAAAAAAAAAAAATCATGGAGCACAGCTCTATTCTAATTCTGCTCTGACACACATGGGGTACCATGTGCCAGAGTTAACTTGGCAGGAAGTATTTTTTTAAGCAATAAATACTAGTTTTCATTATTTGAGTTGTCACAGTTATTATCAAGAATGGTAATTCACAAAGCTTTATGGACTTGGCAAATTAAGTTGAACAAAAGACTTTAGGCTTTAATTTTTCCACTTGTATGTTGCCCTTGAGTTATGGTGTTGGAAAAGAATATTGAAGGTACCACGGACTGCCAGAAGAACAAACACATCTGTGTTGGGAGTGTAGCCAGAATGCTCCTTAGAAGGCAGGATGGAGAGACTTTGTCTCACACTTCGGGCATGTTATCAGGAGGGGCCAGTCCCTGGAGATGGACATCATGCTTGGTAAAGTGGAGGGTCAGAGGAAAACCCCTAATGAGATGGATTGGCACAGAGGTAACAGAAATGGGCTGAAGCATAACAACTGTGAGGAGACTGCAGGATAAGGCAGTGTTTCATTCTGCTATGCGTAAGGTCTCTGTGACGCAGAACTGACGGGGAAACTAACAACAAAAACATGTCGCCCTTGAGTATGTCTGAAAGTTTTTGGAAGAGTTTATGCAACATCTGCTTTAGCCAAGGACTATGGACAAAAGTCTCAGTGGCTCAGTGCAATAATCACTGGACTGCAAACCACAAGGTAAGCGTTTGAGCCCACCAGCCGCTCCGCAGGAGAAAGATGGCACTTTCTGCTCCCGCAGAGATGTGGTCTCAGAAATCCCATAGAGGGTCACTATGAGCCGGAACCAACTCGAAGGTACTTAATAACAACAATGGACCAGACCCAGTGCCTTCCAGCAGCTTCTGTCTCCTAGTGACCCCACAGGTCGGAGAAGAATGGCTCCCTGGGGTTTCTAGGCTGCCACCTTCACAGACTGCCACATCTTTCTCCCAAGGACTGCTACCACATACAAGAAATGAGGCTCCACACTGTGGAGACTATGGGCTGTACAAGGAGTCCCGAGGTGGCGCAAACTGTTAACATGCTTAGCAGTTATAAAAAGGCTGGAGGTTCAAATCCACTCAGCAGCACCTCCGAAGAAAGACCTGGTAATCTCCTTAAGTAACATCAGTCATTGGGAACTTCATGAAGCACAGCTCCACTGACATGCCTGGGGTCACCATGAGTCAGAGTCACCCAATGACCACTGGTTTACGAGCCCTGGGTTGCTGATGCAAACAAGTCTGCTTACAGGCCCACAGTTAACCAGGTGTGCCACAGCCAGCCAGGCCCACCGCCAGTTCTCCACCCAGCAAGCACAGGAAGTCTCTGGAAACCACACAGGAACCCACCGATTGTGAAAGAGAGACAGAACTCGAAGGTCTGTCTAGATATTTGGCAGTACCGGGGA